CAAATGTGCAGTGTGATTATTTGCTCAAAAAGATTTAGAAGACAAATCAGTGTGAACTGAGGAGTGGGAAGCAGTTTCCAGGAAGAGGTAGAACATTTTAGGACTTTGTTGCAGAGGGAAAAAAATGCAAAAAATAAAAAATAAAATGAGTTGAGAAATATTCAAACAAACAACAGAACCCACATATTTTCCGAACTTTTTAAAATTCCAATATGGTGTTTTGAACAGTTGGGGAGGTGTGTGTCCTTGATCTAGTAGGCAACGGGAGTTTTGACAACAGAAGGAAAAGGATTAATCACAAGTCATAAAAGTTGAATCAAAACTCAACTGAAAAGAAACACGTACTGAGTGCCTACAGTGCGCAGTGAAAAGCAGCTCCCCTTCTCTCCTCCCCTCCGGGCTGCCCTGGGGCGGGAGAGCGCTGATCTCGAGAATCTCGAGAAAGCCCGGGGAGGGGGCGCCAGGAACGTTCTAGGGCCCTTCCTTCCGTTCCCTGTAGCTGGGTTTGGCCTTGGGCGTCCCGCTCCCGGCTCCCAGCTGAATCGAAAGGAGAGGGGCCCTGAAGGGCAGACGATGTTCCCAGACCAGAGTTAACAGGCCCTACCACGGTTAGTAAGGTGGTAGTCTCCCCTCTCAGAACTCCGCTGACACCCTACTCCCCATTCTTCCCCTCGACACGTTCCGCCATTCACCACGCTGACCACGCCCCCCCCAGCCGCCCGCACCAGCCCCGAGCGGCGGGCCGCCTTTGCCAAGGAGGCCTCTTCCGCATCCCTCTCCGGAAACAAAATATACTAAGGGCGAGGAGGGGCGGATTGAGGGTCTGTGGACTGCGGGAGCCGAGAGGGAAGCGTGATTCTTATCAAACTCTCTCCCCGCCCTCCTGAGGCCCCACTACCTGACCTTGTCTCCTGCTTATCAGAGGGCTTGCCGTAGAGAAACGTGACTTTGGGCTTGAGAGAGGGGGTAGGGGGAGCTGGACCCAGCACCAGTCACCGCTCCCCTCCCCACACAGGTCCCAGGGCTTGGCTACCCTTACATTGTCCCATGCAGATCTGAGCCTTGACCTTCCCTTTCTCCTCCCCTCCAGCATCCTGCTTTGTTCCCAAAGACAGTAGATCCTCACCCTCTCTGAGACTGTTTCCTCATTTCTAAAGTGAGGATAGCATTGACACGTAATGACTTCGCTTGTATGAGAAACAAGCCCAGGGCAAAGGAGGGAGGGCGGGGGAAGTAAAAAACAGAGAGGGGAAGTAAAAAAAAGGACCGTGAAAAAAAGTCCTCACAATATGCAGGTAAATGTTCTAATTAGTGTATTGGTCCGACATGGCACTGGAATAGGAAAGGGGTTCAGAAATAATTCCTGAATACAATACAGTGATTCTTAAATGTTGATTCTCAGTACGCATCTCTTCTTTCAGAAGCGTTGCATTCTTTTTTCAGAGGGCTGGTGGCTGGCAGGCGGTGTGTTCCATGCATCTATCCGTCTGTGCAGATCACTGCTGGGGGTGGGGGGGCAGGGGCTTCCACACACAGGCTCCAGGCACACCCTGACCCCTCACCTCCTGAGTGGGGTCCTGTGTGGCGCTAACCGGGTGACCCCTGGGACATGCCCACTTTACATTCACAAGACTGAATTGCTTTACATTCACAAGACTGAAATTCAGTCAGTTGAGGGAGCAGGTTGTGAAATGACCCTTGTGACTCTCCCAACTTGGTATCAGGCACAGCGAGTGAAATTTCATTCCATCAGCAGCTACCTCTTTTGCAATAGTCCTGGAGGCCCATCTTGGAGAAATCTTCCTTTTTTCTGATAGCTTAGGAATTCTCTCTAATGGAAAAGGACCTTGATTTGTGAAAGAATTTCCAATGCATTTTCATATCAATTTGCCGGGAGTGGGGAGGTACAGACAATGTGCCATGTTTACAGATAAGATGGTGTGGGGTTTAGGGACCTCTTTTATGGTTGGATGGATGAATGCAGGAATAAATAAATGGGTGGATAATTAAATCCATGCAGAAGCCAGTGGTTCTGAGCATCAGAAACACCTAGAGGGCTTGTTAAAACACAGATTGTTGCGGGGGCCAACCGAATGGCTCAGTTGGTTAACAGTTAGCTCAAGAATGCGAGCTCTGAGCCAAAGGGCCACCGGTTCGATTCCCACATGGGCCAGTGACCCTGTGCCTGAGCTGAGCTGCAGCTGAGCTGCCAACAGGTGGCAGGATAGCTCAGCGGGTGAGAGCACGTGCTCCTAACAATAAGACAGCCTGTTTGATGGTCGGCTACGCCCACCCACAACTAAGACTGAACTCAGCACCTTGAGCTGAGCTGCTGCCCGGATGGTTCAGTGCATAGAGCATGTGCTCTTAACAACAAGTCTGCTGGTTTGACTCCCAGCACACCTGCAACCAAGATTGAACACAGCACCTGGAGCTTAGAGTCCACAAGCGCAGGCAGCCAGATGGCAACTGGTGCCCTCCACAACTAAGATTGAAGAACAACAACTTGGCAGGTCCCCCTCCCTAATTCCCCAACACTGTTCTCCTCCCCGAATTCCTGAATTAAAAAACAAAACAAGGTTGGGCCCCACCCCCAGAGTTTCTCATTCAGTCGGTCTGCAATGGGACTTGAGACTTTGCATTTCTAACAAGTTCCGAGATCATGCTGCTGCTGCTGGTCCAGGACCCCCACTCGGAGATCCACTGGAGTAATTCATCAGTGGAGACCCCTTTAGGCCATGATAGTTGTGGCTGCAACCTTTTCCACTGATGCTGCCAAGCAGCTCGTGGGTGCAGTCTAAAATGAATCCCCTGACTTGATGATTGGGTGATATGGGTGGGTTGCTCACTTTACCTCCCAGGAAACTCTCCTGGGTAGTGTTAGAGTGTTAGATTTGAGAGACTTAGAGGTGGTGTGTGTGTGTGGGGGGGGGGGGGGGTAGGGTGTGCATGCGCGTGTCCCTCAGTGCACGCATCTGTGCTGCGGTCCCGACAGGTACTGCTGTCCCTTTCTACACTTCTGGTGCTGACCTCCAGAACCGCTTGCTTCCTTGGGCCCTTTTCAGTTTGTTTTAAACCCAGCAGAGAAGGTAGCAAGCTACCTTAGATCTTAGAGGTCAAGCTATCCTTTCCTGGAATTTGGTGACATCTAGTGGCTAACTTGAGAATCTTTGCTGGGAGACAATGTTCTGGAAAATTAACCTAGCAGCCTGGAAAGCAAAAACTCGTACTTGTGAACCCTCTGAGAAAGGTTTCCTGAAGAGCTGAGGAGGGGAAGGTAATGACTGACTCAATGCGACGAGTCAAAATGGATTTCTTGCTCTTGCAGCTGTGTCAGAAATTAGAATTCATCAGAGAATTTCAAATCACCTCCCACTGTATCTTCAATGTGAATGATTTTCTAGAAATGGTGCTCAATAAAGTATACTTGAATAAAATGGAGTCAGGTAATACCAATTTGGTATTTGCTTACCATCTCAGGGTTTCTCTGGGCCCCAAGCTCTAAATAACCATGGATAACAATCCATTTTCAGTCTGGTCCAAACTATAAAGAGATCTGTATAAGTTCAGATGCAGCTGGTACTGACCTGAGGGCATCCAGGCCTGAAGACCATTGACAGGTGTAGTTTTTATTGACCATTATATGGGTAGAACTGTAAGATAACCCCTAATGTCACAGGCATTCAAAGTCCTAATGGGAGATTCAAGATATTGTAAATAAGCATATTTGACTTGTATGTTTAATAGAAAGTCTAAACTACTTGTTACCAGAACGGGAGGCAATCAGGGATCATGAAGGAAGCTGTTTTAGGGTGTAGACAGGCCTTTAGCCATTAGAGCTGTGATGGGTCGCAAAACATAGTTGTGAAGCCAGCACCATTGGCAGATTCTCAAGCACCACCCCAGAACTACCGAATTTCAGAAACTCTAGGAGTGGGGACCAGTAATCAATGATTTAACAAGCCCTGTAAGAGGATAATGGTGCATGCTTAAGTTTGAGAACCATTGGTTTAAATGCCCTGTAAAGACTTAAAGGGTGTTGAGAGACTATTGATGAATTTGTGGAGGAGACTGAATTATTTCTATAACACAGGCCTGCTTCTTTTTTTTATTATTGGGGGCGGTAACAGCGTTGGGGAATTGGGGAAGGGGAACAGACAAGTTGCTGTCATTTTGTTCTTCAGTCTAGTTGTGGAGGACGTTGCTTCACTGGTATTGTGATCATTGAGCTCTTCCCTGCTGAGGCAGATAGGTCATGGGGCATTCGACGGCCACTCACAGCAGCTCACCTGCTGGTCGCTCACACTGGCTGCCGGCCGCTCACACTGGCTGCCGGCCAACTCACAGTAGCCCACTGCAGCCCCACTGCAGCCTACGCCATCGCCTCACAGCAGCCCAGCTCCAGGTTGAGCTGTCGTCACCATCTTAGCTGCACAGGGTGCAGCATCACTGGCCCATGTGCGATCTTAACCGGCGGCCCTGCTGCTCAGAGCTCACGCTCCCAAGCCAAACCTTAACCAACGAGCCACTGGGCCGGCCCAGGCCTACTTCTTTTTCAAAACATACAAAGGTGCTTTAAATCTTCTCATTAAATGAAAGGAAGAGGATTGTTTATTTGCTTTTTATTTGAATTTTGGAGAAGGTTGTCTTTAGATAGTCTCCAGAGTAGCCCCAACAGTCCTGAGGATACGATAAGTTTAGAAACAAACAGAAAAATTACTCCACCTCAATATTAAAGAAATACAAATTAAAATAGCAATAGGATAACATTTTTCAACTAACAAATTGGCCATGGTCAAGAAGACTAATGTGCATCAAGATTATGGGGGGAAAATTAAAAACACACATACACACACACACACTCCTGGTGGAAACACCAAGTTCCACGATCTTTCTGGTAATACAAATCAAAAGCCTTAAAAATGTGTGTAACTTTGACTCAGCAATTCCACCTCTAGGAATATATCTTAGAAATAATAATATATGCAACAATGTAGGTATAAAGATGTTAATGTATGTCTATAATTTTAAAAATGCAAACAACTTAAACTTCAACAGCAGAGAATTGTTTAAAAGAAATTATTCATATGACAGAACATAATAAAAATCAAGCTTTACAAAATTATTTTTCCAGTTTTTAAAAGGAAGATTTATTTAACAAGTTTCACTTAGTACAATACATCTAATGGAAATCACAATACAAGGAAAGATTTAAATCAAAGCTCCAGAATTTCGTACAAATGACATAACCAAACTCCTGAAGTATTGGTATTACATCTCAAAATTTTCCCACACCCATATCTTAAAAAAAAAAAGTAAAAGTGTACGCTTACGTGCCTTACTGGATAGTAAACCAAAAAGCTAGAATTAACAAACATGCCAAATGTTTTCACTTTGAGTCATAGACAGAGCTCCTATATTTGAGTTTTACAGAAAAGCATGTTTCTCAACATGCATCCAAAGTTTTCAATGTATTGTGGTATAAGAGCAACATTTAACATAAGTGAAACTGCTTTAACCTAAATACGCTTACTGCTTAGGTACACTCCTACAACAAAACTAACTTGAGGAAAGCTGAAAATTGTTTTAACAGTTATGGTGAATATTGAACTGTTATTACATCCTAGATGAATGTCTCAGTGTTCAAAATTACTGAGCCTGAAGTCTGAAAACAATCTTGACTTTCATTTTACAGTAAGCAGAAATCACAAGCCTGTAATGCAGTGTTAAACTTATTCTTCGCTTTCTTAAAAAAAAAAGAGGAAGAAAGAAAGAAAGGAAGAAAAAAGAAGGAAAGCTGACCAAGAGTGATCAGAATCAGTATTTCCCATTTTACCAATCATACTGGATATGCTAGACATCCCTCCCATTCTATTCAACTCCCATAAATGCACAGCTTTTATTTCTGTAGTAGCTGTTTCATGCTCCTTCCCTACCTACGCAAGGTTTGACTGATAGTCACTGGAGTTTTCCTGCAGAACTTGGTCATATCCACTTATACTGCTCTGACCACCATAACCACCTCCGTAACCACCACTCAGCTGCTGGCTAGCAGGACCTGCATAACTAGACTGGTTGGATAAGCCCATCCCTCCCATCATTTGGCTACCATAAGCACCACCACTTGCCCCTGCTGTAGAATTCAAAAAGAGTTCTACATAGCTGTGATCATAAGCCCCCCCGCTTGTTCCTGCAGTAGAATTCAAGAAGAGCTCCACATATCTATGTTGCATGTTGGCCTTGTCTTTTGCCATAGCTGCCACAGCATCTTCATGAGTAGCAAATTCAACATCTGCCTCACCAGTAACTCTGCCATCTGGTCCAATTTCAATGTGTACTCTCATGGGGTTAAGAGGTGAGAAAAAATTGTAAATATCATTCTCAGTGGCTCTGTAAGGTAATCCCCTCATGTGTACACAGTGCCCTGTGGTGCTCTGGAAACTGGACCCACCATCTCCGTATCTATGATCAGACATTCCTGAAAAACAGTAATTTAGGTCTCTTCCAAATCTATCAGACCCAAAGCCATACCCATCATTATAGCCACCATAGTCATCATAGCCTCCATACCCTCCACCATAGGCACCCCGCCTCATCCTTTCAAACCCAGCCCCTCTGCCAATGCTATTATACCCTCTTCCAGCCCCCGGCCTATCATAGGGACCTGGACGCTGCATAGCCATGAGCTTTCGAGGGGGGTCATAGTGGGTTCGGACTTCAGCTCGGCTACTCTTGAAGATTTCAATGTACCTGTGCCCTATTCTTTCCTTGTGTTTCTTTAAGGCCTTTTCCGCTATCTCCTGTGAAGCAAACTGCACAAAGGCCTCCCCTGTGCTCCGCCCCTGAAAGTCCACTGGCAGTGTCATCCCATTTGGCACAATTTCCAACCCTGAAAAAAACTGAACAATCTCCTCCTTGCTACAGCCAAATGGGAGTCCTCTAAGCCGGACGAAGCCATCATTGGCAGTATCAGGACTATTCGGACCTGTATGCTTCAACACCCAATCCATTTCAACACTGTTGGACTTGAATACTTCAACGTATCTGTGTCCCATGGTTTCTCTGTCCTTCTTCAAAGCCAATTTCACTTCATCTTCCGATTCAAGTTCGACAAATGCTTCACCACTTGGTCTGCCTTCTCTGGTGTAGATGAAACGAATACCTGATGTACCATTTTGGATTTTGCAATCAGAGAAGAAGCGCATCACTTCCTCAGCCGAGCAGGACCAGGGCAGGCCCCTGACCTTCACCACGAACCCCTCCCTGCCTTCCGTGCTCAGCATCATGATGACTGTTAGGCTCTTGGTGGCAAGCTTGGCTCGATGCAATTTCAGTGTAGCTGAAAAAAAGTAGAATACTATTATCATGGAAAGATGTTCACAATATAGTAAGAGAAAAAAGCAAACTATTAATACAAAACTCATCTACACTGATAGCTTTTTTTGTAAGACATTCATATAAACAAAGAGACTGCACCAAGTTTCTAATTCATTCATTCAAGAATTATTTATTCGCTACCTATTAGGTGTTGGATACCATTAATAGTGGTTATTTCTCGGTGGTAGGATTATGGGAGCTTTTTGTTTCAGGGAATGTTTTCTTTGGAAATTTCTGCATGTTCTAAGTTTTCTACAGTGACCATATATTAACATCATAGTCAAAATAAAAAGGTGTAAAAAATTAACAGCAACAAAATCAGTGAAAGACATCAACAAATAACAAATTAAAAACTTTATCACATCAAAAGTAAGATTAAACAGAATTAAAAGACAAAGAATACACTTGAGAAAATTCCTGCAACAAGTAGATTAATACCCTTATTGTATAAAGACCTCATGTAAATTAATAAAATCAGGGAAATATTAAGGTCTAAGAGATAATGGGAAAAAGATATTATGGGAAATTCACGTGTTCATTTTACATTTTTCAGGTTCAGTACATGACTCTGGAATACAAGGATCAGTAAGTCCAGAAAGGACTTATGGTCCTACAGGGACACTGTCTTTACTAAAAACAGAAGGGCAAATAGACATGATCTCTGCTATGACAGAATTGTGTGCAGGGTGAAAGGGTGGTATAAAGCAGGGCCTGGTTGGTCAATTACATCAGTTGGCACAGAATGGTTAGATGAAACAGACTAACTGGTTCAGGGATGCATAAACAGTTTTTTAAAATTATGATTGGAGCAAGAAATAGGAAGAGGCAAGACAGCAGATAAGGTAGAGATCAGACCCCAAAGGCATTTGATAGACAATTGTTAAGGGCCTTGAACAAGGGAGTGAAGAGAAGGGAGTGAGGGGGAAAGGAGTGAGGGGAGGGAAGTGATGTCTTTCAGATAGACAGCCATGACAACAACGTGGCACTAAAACAGAAGGGATTGGGGTGACACTAGCTTGATCAGTTAGAACCCTGGTCTCCTAGGGACATGTTAAGGATTGATCTAAGGTAACAGCAGTTTTTAAAGTGGGGAAAAATGTGATCATTCAAAGCAGTGAACTCTGTAGAACTTTATAACAGATTAAATATACGGGAACAGAGATATGAGGATACAGGGGTCTGCGAAATGTTCAAACCTCATCAATCATCAGAAATGCATATTAAAACCAGAAATGCCACACCCATCAAGATCGTGAAAACTAAACACTGATTATAAATCAATGCTGATATTCAGGGTTCACAAACTAGTAACACTCCCAGAAGTGAAAGTTTATACAGTATTTCTGGAAAGCAATTTGGAAATATGTATTTCTTTTGATACGGTAAATCCACTTCAGGTTATGTACCCTAAGGAGATGATCTGAAATTCAGACATATTTATGGAGCTATATATTCTTTGAAAGGTATTTTAAGAAAGATAGAATATCACATACTTAAAAATTATAAAAATATTTAATAACATGAGAAATTACTTATGGTATAATCTTAAGTGACCCAAGATCACAGCTACTTTATAATCTCAACTATGTAAAAAACATATACCCTTCAACCCTGCTAGAATTCATTCTAGGACCTGGTCAACAGAAATACTCATACATGTTCACTGCAGCACTGTTAGTAACAGCAGAACATTAGACACCTAACTATCCATCAATAGAGAGATGGCTGAATGAATTCTACTTTATCCTTAAAATGGAATGCTATGAAGCTGTTAAAAAAAGATCTGCCCTGACTGAGGATGATTTCCAAAATATATTAAATGAAAGACTATGCATAGTATGATCTTATTTATTTTGAAGTATAAGCATGCACGTACACGTTTGCAAATGAACAGAAGATCTGGAAGCATATAATAATACAAACTTTTTTTTTGAGAAAAGAACGGGAAGGTAGGAAGAGTGAAGTGGATTTTCACTTTTTACCATACATACTACTAAATACTTTTAATTTTTAAAAATCTCTGTAATTGAAATTTATAAAACAGTGTTAAGAAAAATATATGCATGGGGAATATGTCAAATGTTAACAGTGGTTTCTCTGAGTGGTAGGTTTATGGCTTTTTCAATTTTATTTTAAATTTTTTTGTGCATTCTTAATCTACTACAAAGCAATTACTTTTATTTCAGCAAAAACTAATAATAAAACAAATTAAAATATTTGCTTTTCTGGGATTTGGTATTGCAAATTTTATGTGAGTTCCTAATTTGGTATGTGGATGCTTTATCTGACATGATCTGGGAACAGTGGGCCTCTAAGAAAGAAAGTACAAAGTGTAATAACTGCCATAAAACTACACTGAGGATTCAATTCAACAAACATTTACTAATTGCCTATTATGTGTCTGGCACACTCCACCTGCAGTGGTAATAAGTCTTCCTATAAACCATTTTTGTGCCTGAGCGGACTGTTTTTTTGCCTGCCTTAGCTCTTGGATGACCCATCCCATTTAATGTCCCTGCAGCACTCTAGGCCTTAGTATCCCCTCTGTAGTGGCAAAGAGGTTCTGCTTCATTACTGTATCTCCTGGGAAGGCCAACAGGACTGTGGCCTGAAGTAGGAACCAGGGATCCATTTGTGAGTTAAGAATTTGTGTATTTGTATGTGTTATACACATACTTTTTATACACCATAATGCTGAGGAGTTATCTCTGGGTGATAAATCATGTGTATTTTTAAAATTTATAGTATACTGTTATTTTCCGAATGTTCAAAATTTGAACAAGTAAATTGTTACAAGCAGAAAAATAAACGTTAAGTATTCGACTCAATAAAAATTTATCGGGCGCCTCTATCAGGCATGTTAACATTTGTCTAGATGTGATTTTACAGATAAAATTGACTTGGTGCCTCCCCCCATAGACAGACAAAATAATCAGGCAGTGGAGACTGAGTGCCTAACGATGGACCAGCACTCAGACCACTGGTCTCAATATCTGTTTTTTCTAAACCAGGCACGTAGTTTTCAAACGTTTTTCACCTTCAGGTTTCTCTTAAGGACCCCCTGAGACGCGCCCAGACAGACAGAGATACAAAAAACACATACACAGTCACGAACGTCCACCATTTCCCCACCAGGCGCAGCAAAGGCGGCTTCCCGGCACTGAGATGGGGGAGGAGGGGAGCGGGGGAGGGGAAAGCAGGGAGCGAAAACGGCGGAGGCGGCCGGCGGACCCCGCTTTGGTCTTCATCATCACCACCCCTGAGTCCCCAGTTCCCACCCACACACCAACCTCTAACGATACCGGATAATTTTCCTCCTTCTTCCCTCAAACGGCTATAGCGAGACGGTAGACGACGACCCGAACTACTTCTGCTCACGTAAGCGATTGATCACGTGAGCGCCTACGTCATGTGAGATCTCGGTCACGTGAGCAACTCTCGGCTTAAACTCGGGATCACTAAAGTGCCGCACTTCCTTCTGGTATTTCTATAGGGCGGGCCAATGTTAAGGAAGAGAGAGTGTGATTGGTTACGGTGCGTCTTACGTGACTGATCATTGGTCCGCCTCTGGGGATAACCGTCCCAGTTGCTGGAGAAACAATAACGTCACTACTTAATAACTCCCCAGTGATTGGCCCGCCCCTAAGGTTAAACTTAACAGCCCAGTTTACCGCGGAAACCTGTTATGCATGATTATAGTGACGATGAGGCTCATACGCAGAGTCCAACTGCTGGGCTGCGTGCTAGTGCTTCGCTTCCTGGTCCTGGTTCTCTGGGACGTCCCTGCGGCCTGGGCCCTGGACAATGGCTTGGCCATGACTCCTACCATGGGCTGGCTGCACTGGGAGCGCTTCATGTGCAACATTGACTGCAAAGAAGAACCGGATTCCTGTATCAGGTATCAGAGATATTGGGTACCTTCTTTCCTTCGTCTTTCCGTGTGTTTGGAGAAATGGAGGGTCTCAGCGGGAACATCTGAGCCCGAGGGAGAGCTTTCCCTACTGCTGCTGCTTTCTTATTCCCAGAAAACTGCTCCGGATGGGGACAGCCCTAAACTTTGTCCGTGTGAGGGGTCCTGGGGGTGGGAGTCTGGCCAGCGGCCCCGAATTCTCCATCTCTGCCAGATTACCAACTAGGGACTTTGTCCATTTACCATCCACTTCTGTTTAGACCCTTTTTGTGAGTCCCTGCGCTGCCTCTGCTGCATAATAAAGCGAAGAGCAACAAAGTGAGATATACCTGTATAAAGTTCCTCCAGGTCAACCTTTCAGCCAGACGCCACATTCAAGGGCGAGAGGGTGGGGAGTTCGCAGAGACTCCTTGGTGTCTCTAAAATCCCTCAAGTTACAGCCAAGGGACCCAGTGACCCAAAAAAAGGAGAAGAAAAGTCATGTGTCTCTCCTACTCACCGCAGCTGTGCTCGTAGCTGGTACGGGCAGATACTGCGGGTTCTTTCCCCCCAACCACCACCGCAATAAAACGAGTCAACCTTTTTGCTGGTGGAGGGTCTTCCCTTCAATTTGTAAAAAACCGCAACATCTGTGAAGCACAGCAAAGCAAGGTATGCCTGAGTATCTTCCAGACAGTATCAACACATTTCTAACTCAAGGCTACATCCTTGGCGCAGCTTCTGGGATCGGGGAAGGCAAGCCGAAGGCACAATCCAAGGACAGGGGAACGGGTGAGGAACTTCCGATTGCCAGGTCCCACTGGAGGGTCAACATCTTCTCACTGACCTTCCCCAACAAGGCTGGATAAAGACAGGTATTGAACCTATCTGATCCACACATTCCTTGTCTGTAAATTGGAAATAACAACTCTTACTCAGAGAGGTGACTCAGAAGGATCTATAAAATAGCTCTTTCATTTTTTTAAAATTACGATTGACATAGAATATTATTGTATATTAGCTTCAGGTGTACAACATAATGATTAGACATTTATATAACTTAAGAAGTGATCACCCTGATCAGTCTAATACCCACCTGTCATGTCAGTTTCTTTTTTTTAATTAAGTTTATTGGGGTTTTTGTCTTTTCATTTTTCTCTAAATGGTGTAAGAAGAGTATAAGGAAAAGAAAGATTCCCCTTATTCCACCAGCCAGAAATAATCATAATTAAAATGTTAATACACAACCTTAGAATAGTTTACTAGTAAATAACAGATTTCTTTTTTTTATTATTTTTTTATTTACTACATTTATTGGGGTGGCATTGGTTAGTAAAGTTATATAGGTTTCAAGTGTACATTTCTATAATACATCATCTATCTATTGCATTCTGTGTTCACCACCCAGATCTTCTTCCTTATTTTTCATACAAATGAGATCATGTTTCTGTTGTGAATTGTTAACAAGACTCTGAACTTTGCCTGGCTGCTGCGTTGAAATTCTAGCTCATCTTTACTTAGCTGTGTGACCTTGGGCAAATTCATTACCCTTCCTAAATGTAAGCAGAGTGCCTGGCACAGAATAAGAGTTTCTTAAATGCAAATTGTATGTATATGCCATAAGTTAAGCAAATTCCTGTTGCTAGCTATTCAGGCTCTTCCATTTTTCATTATTGTGAACAAAACTGTATATCACTGTATATCATCTGATTCTTACCTTAGAGGTCTAATTACTGGGTCCAAGTGTTTGCTTATTTTGTGGCATATCAAACTATCTCCCCTAAAAGTTTTACAAATGCACATGCCAACAACCATCTGTGAGGATACCCGTTTCCCTACACCCTGGGGCCAACACTGCATTTTTGTCATTCTTTTAAAACTTTGCCAATCTGGTAGGTGTTTTTACTTTCATTTATTTGAGTACTAATAAAGTTAAATATATTTCATATGTTAAATTGGCTCTTTGTAGGGTTTCTTTTATGGATTACCTGTTGGTTGGTTCCCTATTTTTCAATTAGAATGTTTTCTTGTTTGTGGGGGCTTGCTTGCTTTTTGTGTGGTCTTTTGTTTTTTGTTTTTGTCTATTATATGTTGTGAATATGGTGGTTCTTGCTATATGTCAGTTGTTATATTTATGTATCAAACATCAGGTTTTTTTCCTTTATGATTTCTGACTGGCATTATGCTGAAAAAGTCCTCTCTTACCTGAAGATAATATAGTCACCTACATTTTCTACTAGTATTTTTATGGTTTTTTTTAAATACTTAAATCTTTAGTCCATCTGAACTTTATTCTCCAATAAGGAATGCCACATTTAATATATTCTAAATTCCATGGTACCAAATGGTTGGAAGGATTTCTTTCTGAACTTTTTCTTTAATTCCATTGATTGGTGTATTCCAATGCTACTGGTACTACACCACCTTCATTTATCTTTTGCAGAATGATACATGTTTAATCTTTTTGGTGAACTTTTCGAATCACATTGCCAGATTCCTTAAAAAGTCCTTTTGGGATTTGTTCAGGGCTTTATTAAATGAAGAAAGTGTGTAGAGAGAATTAGCTTATTTTTATTTTTTAATTTTATTTTATTATTAGTTTTAGGTGTACAATACAGTGCAATAGTTATCCTTTTCACCCCTCACAAAGTAACAACTCCCTTCCCCCCATCGACTGTCCTCCCACCCCCGATGTCATACTTATCTATTACAATTCCATTGACTCCATTCCCACACTCTACACATCCTGTGACTATATGTATATATAATTGTAGTTGACATACAATATTATTCAACATCAGCTTCAGAAATACAGTGCGGTGGTCAGGCCTCTACACTGTCTATGCAGTGGTCTCCTTGGCCAGACATAAGTCCAACTGGCCCCCTAAAAAATATTTACAACATTGTTGATTATATTCCCCAGACTGTCTTTTCTATCCCTGAGGCCTTATTGTAGGTACCAATTTGTATTGTCTCGTCCCTTCCCCTTCTCCTTCATCCCCACCCCCCTTGCAACTAGCAACCCTCAGTTTTTCCTCTGTGTCTCTGAGACTATTTCTGTTTACATTT